AAAAGGTATAGTGGATAAAATTCTTTGAGTTTTGAAATCTGGGCCGTAAATCTTTTCCATCTGTAAAAACATTAACATTAATCTTTTCCATTTTTACTTACCTACTTGTATCAATAAATATTCTGCATTTACATGTACCAATATCTACATAAATTGATTATTTGATAAGTTTTTATTAAGATTTTTATTTATCTATGACTTCACTGAAGACTCCCAGATGACGTGCAGAGACACATCTTCTCTTTACCCCATGTGACACAAAATCTAGTTCTGAAAAGAGCATGGATTCTGTATTTATCATCTTTAATGTTAGTATATTGATGTGCAGAATTAACCACAAAAAAAAATTAAATGGTTTGAATATTCCAATCAAGTGTATTACTGCTGCCACCATCTGTATTACAGGGGGAAAAAAATGGCAGGGGTGGCTACAGGGGTGGCCAATGACTGGCTGAGGGTGGCCATGGCCACCCCCGACCCCCCATCTGAATTGATGACCTAGAACAATAATATAATTTAAGCTATTGTAGGTTATATTGTATTATTTAATATTTGTGTTTAAATTGAAATTATCATTGATATTTTTAGATGCAACCAATAAATAATGTAAACATATCATAACGCGATAATTTAGGGGGAAATGTGAAAGAGGATGCTTGTGAACTAGGTTTTTAAATCATAATAATAATTTTTAAAAAAGTACAATGATAACGGTTCATAAATTTAGATAAGTTGAGTGACAACTGAGAGGAAATTATGATACAATGAGAAAATTTAAATAAAAACACAACGGCTGAAACGTTCCTGCTTCTTTTAGGCTGCTCCAACATTCTTGATAATATTATAATAATAAACCGCAAAAGATGAGACAACATGCATATAAATGCGTTTTTAAACGCAGTTTAGTGTGTCAGGCAGTTAGAAACAACTCAGGTATCGGTCACGTGACTTTCTTGAAACAAGCGCACCGATGCAGTGTTTTGTTCTGTGGGCTTCACGCATGCACGGACTCATCCGTGCTGCTGGTGCTGGACAACCCGTCACTAATATTCAGTAAAACCTTCAGATTACATAGATCTCTAGCTGGTGGGATTAAAGTTTCTTTTCATATTAAACAACACTTTTGCGATGTTTTCACGTCTTCTTGACCCGTATTTGGGATCTGAAAGCAGTTTGTCGGAGTTCTTTTGAACGCCACAAAAATAAACGCTGCAGCTCTTCCTAGTTGAATATTGGGGGTTAATGTTTTCCAGAATATGTTTTGACACCAACTTTTATTTCTCCTGACAGACAAATTAACCGTGTTAAAGTCCCAGTGATGTATTTTCGTCTTCACCTGGTGCTTTCAGCGGTTTTAATTAAAGGTAGGAAATAGTTTCACTTATATTTTCTTCATTTTTCAACTTCTCTGCTCATGAATGGATGTAGGCAAATATGTCATGATCGACATGTCTTTTCTTTCCTCATAGTATCCAGGCTACTTAGAAAACCAATCTGTAAAGAGTTTCACATTTGGAAATAAAAAAAAATTAACTAAAAATTTAATAGTAGGTCTTTATTCGCTATTTAAGAGTATCAACTGATCCATTCATTCATGTGTTTATTTCTTAGTATAGTTTGCTTTTGTTATTTTATGCATTTATTTATACAGATTGATAAGGAATTCATTTAATTAAAGCGTTAGTAAGAATGAAAAGGACATTAGTAACTTTTTGTTTTCATAGAAACACCATTGTTGACAGGTGAGGAGGGAGATTTTAATCATCTTTTAATAAAACAATCAGCGTTTCCTGGGTGTAAAATAAACAAGCGGAAACAAAAAATGAGCTGCTTTCGCGTAAAACAAAGACCGAAAAACGGCAAGTTTGTTTGTTTACTTTCCCAAAACGAAACTCATTCTACTTTTTGTAGATTGAAAGGTGCGCGTGACTTCAGAGCTCGCCTGTGCGGCGCGTGTTCAGGCAAGCAAGGATGACATTCCTTTGATTGTCCCCTATGTAGCTGTTTATACGGAAGAGCATTAGAGCCACTGGAAAAAGAATTAAAAAAAAAAAAAAAAGATTTTTTATTTTCTTTCAGTTTAATATGGGAAAATGGAAATCTAGATAAGTCATTTTTTCTTAAAATATCTACATTTGTTCTTGGATTGAGGAGGTAAAAGAGACATTTTGCCAATGGAACAAGACAATTTGCACTTAAAATAAGAAAAAACAATTGCATTGTCTTATTTCAAGCGCACATTATCTAATTATCTTATTTCAAGAGTAGAAATACTCATTCCATTGGCAAACTATCTTACTTACCTAAATTAAGGGTAAATACACCTAATTTAAGACATTTTTTTTACTTATTTATAGATAATTCTTCCAGTGCTGAGATTTAAGTCACAACACATGTAATCTTAAGGCACTTTAAAGAGACAATTCAACCAGATCATACAGTCAGATTTCAAAGTTTTCCATCTGAAGAATACCAGCTGATTGTATCAAGTCGACAGCAATCAGCTGGTATTCTGGTATTGCTCACACAAAGCCAGCTTGTTGTGACAATGGAAAGTGAATCTCCCTTTTAACAGAGACCTCCAACATAACCAAGCTCAGTCTGAGTTTTATGTCAAGTGTTTTCAGACAAGAAAAGTAGTTTTTTTTTCACAATAGAAGGGCTCAAACCATGTGGTATAGATTTGGATTCAGTTTTTTGCTCTGTCTAATATTTCAGTGCATCCTCTGTTCTAATAATAATAATAATAATTCATTTAATTTATAATGCACTTTTCACCAAAAAGGCCTGGAAGTGCTACAAAAGAAGCATTTAAAAAAGCATTATAAAAGAAATACATAGAGATAAAAGAAATAAAATAAAATAATAAAAGCTGTTTTAAA